GTTTAGGGGTTTGGGTTTATAGGGTTTAGGGTTTAGGGTTTAGGGTTTAGGGTTTAGGTTTCGGCTTTACCTTGGTGTTTGGGACTCAATTTATGAGGGTTTGAGTTTTGCAGTTAGCGCTCCGTCCACACATCGATGATGAAGCTAAAAAAGGCGGATAAAACGATCAAGAAGTGGGTTTAGGGTCCGGATTAGTGAGTAAAGGGAAGAATGCTCTCTTATGGTTCCGGATACTCTTATAGTGTAACATACTGCAGATCCCGGTTCTAGTTATTAGGCCACTATCTTGGGGCTTAGGGAAGCGACACGCCCAGGGAGCCCAATACCCTTAAATAAGGAGTATACCTTAAATTATAGGGGCTTCGATATTATGATTTATTGTATAGTCCTTGTTTAAGGGGCTTAGGGACGCGACACGGTTGATGGAGTCATCCACGGTATCCACATCGACATAGCGAGCAACATCTGCCGTACAGGGGATTCGGACAGAGACTAATGTAGGGGCCTAAATAATTACCTGTACAATTTTAGGGGTTCCTTATTGTAACAATAATATAATATACCCTTAAGCCCTATTCTAATTATTGAGGCCCCTATATTAGACGGACTAGACTTTACTGTACCGAAAGCTCCCTAGACTCTAATATGGAAGCTTGAACACTTGAACCATTGTAGTAATGCCCACCCCAAAATAGGGGGCCCATGACATAGGGGCGGTACCTTACTTATGTCTATAATGAGGAACCCAGAAGAACAGTAGTGGAAATCATCCCGGCTTCTGCGTTACAGCTGTGGCAGTAGTGGCCGAAGCCGAAGCAGGGGCAAAACAAATTTCTTTGAGGTTTGCCTTACGTCAGTACGACAACGGTAACAATAACAGCTTCAACGACGCCAGTGGCACCATAATCCTGGTGGTGGTTAGAACTCGCCCTAAAGCTCTAAAGCTAGAACGCCCCAAACCCGACACTTCACAACCCTAAGTCCCAAAGCGTTCATGAATCCCACGCCCGGGCACCCTAAGTGGAATGACAGCAGGCACAGCATAAGGGCTCAGAACATCGTCGAAGAGGCTTTAGTAGTTTGCTGACTGATTGAGGCCCCTAAATCGTAGAGCCTGTATCGAACCCGTGTTACAACCCTGAAAGGAACTCTATTAAAATGACTACGGCGGCTAGATTCCTTCATATTCCCAGAGAGACCAATACCCCTTAAACAAGGAATCTACCTTAACTAACGGGGGCCTTAATATTATGATTTAGAGTACATTCCTTAATTAAGGGGTCTTGGACTCTCTGGATTCCTTCACATGATGACCCTAAACCCTAAACGCTAAACCCTAAACCCTAAACCCTAAACCCCAAACCCCAAGCCCTAAACCCTAAACCCTAAACCGTCCGCTTCTACAGCTCAGGACGTCGATGGCCTTTCAACCCGCTGATCTCACTGCAACGTGCGCCGGGTTTGCTATTCTGGGTTTAGGGGTTTAGGTTTTAGGTTTTAG